TAGATAGATAGATAGATAGATAGATAGATAGATAGATAGATAGATAGATAGATAGATAGATAGATAGATAGATAGATAGATAGATAGATAGATGGATAGATAATTATAAAATAAGGTAAGGTGAAAAGGGTGTATAAATAGTTTAAATATATGAACAGTTAAATGATGTCATCGAGCTTTTAAAAATCTGCTGACAAATGCTGCAGAACTGTGTGTTACTGGGGGGGGGTTGTTCCCCTTTTTGGCTCTTTTGGTTTTCTTTAATAGAAAACAGAAAGTTGTGAAGGCAACACTGTTCCCTGAGTTTAGCTGCCTTATCCTTTCTCTCTAGCAGAAGACAGAAATACTTGGTCATCCAGTTTTATTATTAGATCTGATTTCTAACTCTGCTTTCAGCTCTCTGATTTTCTTTCAACAAGCACAAGTTTGACAATCGTTGATAGCGCAGGTAAGCTATAGAATTAATAGCCGATCAAAAAAGTTTAACTAATAAGTTAATTAGTTAAATATTTAATTATTATTTATTTTAGTTTTTGTCCTAAGTTTCAAATATTCAGTTGAAAGCCAGCATAGCAAAAGAAAAAAAAAATCTGTTTTTTAAAATGAGCGAAACTGCCTCAAAAGGACTAAAAGTCTTAGAAAATGTTGGTGTGAAATATAAAACATTCTTTCTACTGTCTTTGTCTTACTATCACCAAATATTCAACATAATGTCAGGAGGACACTGGGCCACAGAAAAGTGAGGGAGGATCCCAAAAAACAAACAACAACAAAAAAACTGAAGAGAAAGGTTGGCGATGAGAACAGAGGAAACCCCGTTTTTTTTTTTTTTACTCTCCTCCTCCTTCTGTTCAATACAGAGCAGAATGTAGGTCTGTGTTTGCCTACAGCCGTCAGCAACAATCAGTGCTGCCCCAGTTACTGCTGCATGTCCCAGACCAAAAACACACAAACACACACAAAGTAAGTCATAACAGACACACACACACAAACCAACAAATCCATGTCCACAGACAGTGTCACAGGATCTTCTTGTCCCACAGGAAGACATTTCACATATTAATGGAAAGAATATTTGACTACTGTTATATTATTCTCACTGAAAAAAAAAGCATGGCTGCCAGACAGATATATCAACTATAGCAAATCTAGCTGCTGGCTGTTGATTGTACTTCGCTACCGAGCTGACTCATCATGATATTATCGATATTATAAGCAAGGGTAGGAAAGGGCGGGACTGTAAAAGCACATGTTTAAGAGACAGCTTCAGATCAGGGTTTTTTTTTTTAGGCCAGGGGGCGCTCACAGTCGAAACTGAAGACATTCCCATTCATTTCTTTAATAATGTTGATGACAAGGTTGAAAGAGCCATTTAGGCATCATGGCAGAGGGGAGGATGGGCTTAGAGAAGAGAGAGTCCGTGATCCATTTTTTCCTTGATTATTTCCTTGATATTGGATTTTTGATTTCTTCAACATACTGTCCAGCTCCAGGTGACTTGTATCGGCCTAATGATCTAGTGAGAGATTGTAAGGAGAGTACATTTGTGCCTTTGGTGCCTCTATGCCCTATTCGGTGTCACTCTGCCTATGACTGCAGCTGCATGTGTCAATGCTTTGTATTTGGCCGTTGAGCATTATAGCTTGGGGTGATTACCCCACCTGGGGAGTCACAGGGTGACTGCATATTTATTGTTATTATCTCACTCATTGACTCTGGCCCTTTTGGTTTATTACTTTGTTTTCCACCAGTGCTTTTTCTGTTTATTACCTAATTTCAATTTGAATAAAACAAATGATATCCTATACCGAACAAACACGTGGTCTGTGCCCTCTGTCTTCCCCCTGGAGAGGTTTAACTGCATTCTCCTCCCCTCATCCCCTAAACAAAGCCGGGTAGTCAACGGTCACCCACACTCTGCAAAATGTAGAGAAGGCTTGTCTTTTTCTATCTTTGCTCTCAATTCTATACAATACAATAATTTATGTGGAACACTCCAAAAGTCTTTTATTTTGTCATTTATTGACATGTCTTAAGAGGAGTTTGCACCTGGAATATGTTAGGCTTAAAAAAAACATATTTGGCCATGATAAAAAAAAGAAAATATTGTTTGTTTATTTTCTGCAGCTTGATCCCAAATGACCCAGTATGCATACTAGGACTAAATATTACTTTCCCCAATAGGCGATAACCAGTACTTACCTCAATACCAGTTTTCCGAAAATCAGTACATGAGTGGAGGTTTTCTCCTAAGAAAAGGTTGGGGGTGTCCTCTTGGGGTGGTTCTCCTGCGGTGTTATGCATCCTGGTTGTGAAAAAGTTGGGGGTGTCCTCTTGGGGTGTCCTCTTGGGGTGGTTCTCCGGCGGTGTTATGCTTCCTGGTTGACTGTGTTTGAAGCGGAAGGAGACGGAAGACACATCCTCGGTTGTGCACCACGGGTTCCTAACATTCATTTCTGCAGCCTGATCCAAAATGACCCAAAGCTTAGTAAAGGCCTGGTACCTAGAGTTGGCGACGTCTGCATTAGCCCACATGGTTTGCAACATATACACAGTTTTTTTGGTTGTATGGTAAAAAAAAAAAATACAAAACAGACAAACTGACAAAGATATTTAGTGATGTTTTATTTATTTTTATTATTATTTCTCTTTTGTGTCAAAACCCTAGTTGTTCTGGAGATGCAGGTCTTTGTGCTACACCACTCTTCTATGGCCTGTGTTTATTTAGTTGGCAGCAAGAGTCTGGTCAACCCAACCACGGAGCTCGGTGACCCGAGCATAAACCGCTGGAGTGGATGTGGAGCATTGTCTGCTTCCCCAGGACACGATACCCACCAGAGTCCAAGCATTATCTTTCTCACACACCAGGGGGCCACCAGAGTCACCCTGGACAAGGACATTAGAGAAATGGTGAGACAGGAGGAACAAACTCTATCTACATGATTAAAAGGGTGCGAGGCAATGCCATACCATGCAGGAAGTAGCACCAGCTCCACCAGCACAGATCATGACATCGGAGATTTTCCAGCCCCAGTGTCTCTTGCACTGTTCGTTGGACAGCAGTGGAAGCGCTGCCTGCTGGAGCTTGTTGGGAGTGCTGGAATCTGAGGGAGACAGGGAATAAAGTGAGCTAACACTCTCTGTGCATAGGAAATCAATAAACAGTACAAGATGCGGGAAGAACGTTTCACCATTGTAACGCATCAGACCCCATCCCGATGTCACACATTTCCTGCCTGGAGCGAAGACATCATTGGACTCAGCCAGGCAGACAGGTGACACGTTGGTGTCCAGGCGGGCTGGAGTGGACAGCTTGATGAGGGCAATGTCATTGTTGATGGTAAGGCGGTTCCATTTGGGATGGGTAAAGATCTGACAAGAAATACGATACATTTAGTGTGTGTTTGTATTTTTGAGGGAGCGTTAAAGCTGACACTCTTACCTTGGCAGGCTTCAAAATTTGGACCTTTTCATTCGACCCAGAGCCTTTGTCATGCTCTCCAGAGACCACGCGGTGGTAAGTTCTGACAAGAAACAGGAAACGTATCAATAAGGTAAAAGTTTACGAAGTGCTATCAACTTTAACAAGCAACCTAAACAAGTTAAAATGTATTTTATTGACTGGTGATAGGTCAGTCACGGTTGTTAGCTATAATAATTACATAAAGCTAAAAAGCTCAAAGCTAAACGATCAAATGTAGAAGAAGATACTGTATATTTGATGAATTTTTTTTAAGGTTGTGTAACTGACTTGACGTTGCAGTGAGCAGCAGTCACCACCCAGTTCTCATTGATGAGTGATCCACCACAGAAGTGAAAGCCGTCTGATTGCTGTAGGGGGAAAAAAAACGGATAGAGTCAGTCGAGAGGGAAAGGAAACAAAGGGGGAATTTGGAACAGAAGGACAACAAGTGAAACCTTTTGGTGTCGGTCACATGACTCACCTGCAGAGACACCTGCCAAGGCCAGGAGTGAGGCTTGGCCTCCTCACCATTAACAATGCGTGCATAGCCAGTGACCTCTGGAGGAATGGCTGGATTTCCACAGCCTAAGAGAGTGACAGATGTTAAAGGACTAGTCTATCGTTTACTGACTGAATTTAACCTCTACCGGGAGCAGAGAGATCGATAACACTGGACTTTGACTTTTATTATTTTGACTTCTCTTTTAAGGACTTGTTACAGCAGATCATGTGTCTCCATGTTACTCTCAACGCCTCAACGTGGTTTCGCTGACCTCATGCATCTCATCTCATCCTGCTCAACTCTCACCTCTTTCCCAGCTATTCTCAACATATTGATATGGTGCTTTCTTTCTCTTTGGACCCCCTGTCAGCAATTTTTAAAAACTAGTCTCAGAGGAAAAACCTAAACTAAATGAAGCTGCTGCTCACATTGGAACCCTATGCTTTAGCTTCTTTTTAATGGCTATTTCCAATGCTTTCTGGGTATATTTCCCTCTCTAATCATTAGGCACTTATATTACTCTCTCGGAATTGTCTGTGTTAAACAACCTGTCCAGAAGTCAGCTGCCCTCTCTTCCAGATATTTTCATGCATCCATGGGTAATACAGCATGATCTGGAGAAACTGCCTTTTCATTCTTCCCGATTCATTCATCTGCCCTCCTCCTGTTCCTTAGTCAGGACTGATATTTATTATAAATATATAACAAATATCAAAAAGTCATTAACTGATCCCTACGTATTATTTTAACTCAATAAAACAATTAAGTACTGAATTGTAAGGTTCTAACCGTAGGCAGCACTGATGAAGGCAAAGCAGGAGACGATCCAGAGGAGAGCCATGGTGATGAAGGTGAGAAGATAAAAAAGTTCAGCATGGATTCTTCTCTTTTATCCTGAAACACTGTCCAGCCTGAACCAATCAGATCCACAACCGTTTGTCCAGCTTAGCAGCAGCTGTTTATCAGGGTTTAGGACTCGTGTTGATTCTCACGAGGTATATGTTGAGTTTGCAACTACTGGTATCTAAATGGTTTACCAAGTGGAACCCTTCTGAGGCAAGGCAGGAGTCAGCGTAAGATCAGGCCATGGACCTGATGAACATTAAAAACTAAATATTCAACTCATTCATCTATGGTTTAACGGTATCTAAATAATACATTATAGCTGTAACTTAAAAAAATGTAAATTGCAATGTTTATATAGCACTAACAAAAAATAGCTACAATTTAGCCAATAATTTGGCAAATGTTGCCAATGAAATAGTTGGCCAACTGTTTATCAAAGACAGGTTACATTTGCTGTAGCAAAATTGCTATAAGACATGGGGAGTAGGGGGGGAGTGTCAGTCAGTTTTTCTAGTAAGAGATAAGACATGGAAAAATGTAAATAATATTGCAAATAATGCCATAGTGAGGGGCCTTTTTCTATCTCATCTTGTCCGACACGTGAGAAAATGAAACTCTTTAGCAGGTGTAAAATCACCTGACTGAGCAGAAAATCACCTTATGAATAGGAACTAAGAGCCAGTGAGAGTCCCTTTTTATTTGAGGAATATTCCTTTAAATTATATCCAGTTTTTACCCTCTCAAAATCGAAAATATTTCCACTTTGGGAAATATTGACGAGATAGTGTTTAAACAGGAAGGAAGTTCATGCATTGTGTGGTGGGATACCTTTTTAGTAGTTTTTGGTAACTATAAAAAAGTTTTCTAGTCAGGTAATGGAGACTCGACCTTAATGTTCCATCTGTCTACAGTATGATTAAAAATAGGGTAAGAAAGGTCAAGATGACTGAATTAAAGACGGTTCAATTATTGCTTTTTGAACAAAAACTAAAGCAGGGAGCAGCAATAGGTGTTACAGTTGAGGTGCTGCCATCCACTGGTTAAAAAGTGAAAACGCGCCTCAAGTCCCTGGCTCGCTGCAATACCCTAAACATTTTTACAAATATTTGTTGAAGCACACACATATATAGTGTCTTTTTGAAACTACATTATTCACATACAACTGTGCAATGAAAAAAGAACGGGAAAAAAAATCTATGTCGCCCTACTTGCTTTGCTAAAGGAGACAATTTGAATAACCATGGTGACAGTCAATTGGTGCAATAAATTAACAGGATTTGCAGGTGAAACTCAATTCAACGCTTAATATTGAATACACTTAAAGTATTTTATTTATTTGTAGTCGTATCATGCAGTTACCAGAGATAGCATGGCTAACCGTATACAGTACTATTGGTTATTATATGTTGTGTAACTTATTTATATTTTTTACTCAAACTACGGCCCTCTTGTCAGGCGCTGGTGGCTCCAGTGCGTCTCAACCAATCACCGAATAACTTCAGTTTTCTGACGCGTCCTTAAACCCATTTCATTGGCTAATGCTGATACCTAATGGTGTTATGGGCGGTGCATGTGGTGCTAAGGTAAAGTGAACTGATGTAATCTGATAGCCAGCAGCACCAGCAAGAGCAGCAGCAGCAGCTGTAACAGCTGTGTAAGCCCTAGCCGTGTCAGCCTTCACAGGTGAGTCCATTGCGGTTTTAACGACACCTTTATCTGCCATCATGTCCTGCAAGAACGGCGCTCTGGCTCCGGTATTACCACAGTGTAAAACAGGAAACAGTTGTAGGGGAGGATATGTTTTGTACAGTGGTGCGTTCACGGTCATGCATTCGAGGACCAAACACTTAATTGTGTACAACTTGGATAAGCATAAACATTTGGACGTGTTCCGCGTCCTGTGTGTGCATATTTGTGAATTATATTTAAAATAAATACCCCTTATTACCTTATAAGACAGTAATAGACAGGCAGGAACAGCAGAGGAGGGGAAACAGCGGGCTCGGAGAATGGGAGCTGGGATGACCTATTGCTTACAGCGGGCTCGGAGAATGGGAGCTGGGCTGACCTATTGCTACCGCTGAACATCCTTGCAGAAAAGCTGTATTACAATGATTAAAACACCGTTTCTCCACAATCTTAACATTTAAAGAATGATCGGAGGTGTTTCTGGACTGTTTTTCAGTTGTAATGTGAACTCAGCCCCAGCTCTGGCAAAATGCAGAATTGCGATTTTTTTATTATCTGGCTTAAAATGTTGAAAAATGATGTGAACTCAGCCCCAGCTCTGGCAAATTGCAGAATTGCGATTTTTTTATTTTGCTTAAAATGTTGGGCTGGAAGGTTGGTTTAAAATAATTCGTTGGTGCAGATAAATTGATGCATTTCACAGAGACCTACGCACGCACAATTACGTATATCTATATCTATGCATACAGCTGCGGCCTGTTATTTTTTCTTTATGTGTCGCGCATCTCTGTGGCTCATGGCGCCCCCCAGGGGAGGCGTGTCTCACCGATTGAAAACCGCTGTTTTAATGCAGTGGTCCCCAACCCCTGGGCTGCAGACCGGCACCGGTCCGTGGGTCAATTAGTACCAGGTCGCACAGAAAGAGTGCACATCTTACATTATTTCCATTTTATTTATTACCTGATTCTGAACAATGTTTTATTTTGAAAAATTAACGGATTCCCTCCACCGCATCTGTCTATGACTCTCGATACATGTCAAGATGCTTGCCTCAGTCACATGTCTCACCTACATCTGCTACCTTATTAAAAGGTCTGCTCCGGTAGATGTGGTATCACATAATACATTACAGCTAAATTGAAACCCCCGAGCTAGCAAAATGAACAGAAATCAAACCTTTGGAAAGTGTTCTTTGCGGAGGGTAAAAGAGTCATTGGGCAGACAGAAGAAGAGCCTACGTCTTCAAAGAAAAAGAAAGCTGCATCTAACAGAAAATTCCAGCTTTTAACCCATCACCAAAATGAACAGTGGGCAGAAAATACTCGTACTCATATCAGTTTGTAAATACTGCAACCCCAATTATTACTCTAAATTATTGACCTCAAGTTTGGATCCACTTTATATTCGAATAAGAAAATGAAACAGTATCCATGTGAATCATGGAAGGATTTTACTGCCTACTTTGAACCACCTAAAGGCCAAGAAAGGTGCTACATCCTCATGCTGATAAACACTGTACTGTTGTAAACAAAACATACCCATTCCAATTCCAAGAGTTGATTGTTACTCTTAAATATTGAATTACTTTTATAATATTTGTGATTTATTTGATCTAAACTTTCTATTGATAGAGCATTTTAAAAAAAATTCCTACATAAAATTCCAGATAAAAACAGTCAGGTCAACTTTTTATTGTTTATTAATTTATACTGCAGACACACTGAACCTCAGCTGTGTGCTGTAACAGTGAACAAAGTCCAGCTCTACTGATCTTCACTTGATAGCTCTCTTTTCTTCACCTCCAGCAGAGTTGAAGACTGCAAAGAATCATGGAGAACGTCAGGAAAAGGACCCGGCCCAATACCAACGGGAAAGCGTCACAACCGAACCAGTCGGCTCAGTGGGGCAGAGCATGGTGGGTAAATTCAACATTACCTGTATGAGAATCAAGCAGTGTGCTCAGGAAGACTATTCTGTTTAATTCTTTGATGTTGTTAGAATGGCAAGGTCCACATTGCACATAGATGTGGCCTCTGATACACTGATATATCGCAATATTCCTGAGTTTGGCTGGTCACGTTCAGCTGAATGACAGTGTTTTTAAGCCTTTGGTTAGGTTTGTTGTTTAGTATGATCCATGGTTAACCATTGAGCCACATATGTTACAAAGAGTGAGCTTGGAGTTTTCTTGGATCACTGTCAATTACTTTAGCATTCCTCCATTTCCCCTTGTTCTCTGGGTTTTTTAGTAAGATAATCTCACTTGAAATCACTTGACTGACTTTTTTTTTTCCCAGGGAGGTGGACTGGTTCTCCCTGATGTCGGTTGTTGGCCTCCTTGTCTTTGCTCCTGTCATCGTCTTCTACTTTGTGATGGCCTGCGATCAGTACCAGTGCTCAGTCACTCAGCCAGTGCTGGAGCTCATCCATGGAGAAACCACTCTAGGCATCATCTGGGCCAGAGCTCCATCCTTCACCTGGACTGCTGCCAAAATCTACCTCTGCTGGGTCTCCTTCCAGGTAAAAGAAAAACAAAAACCCAAATCAAAATGTTTTTTTTTTTTAAAAAAAATCTGTGCCACGCTGAAACTAAAAGTCCACCTGTACTTCAGGTCTTCCTCTACATGTGTGTCCCTGATGTCCTCCACAAGTTCATCCCTGGATATGTAGGTGGCGTACAGGACGGAGCACGCACTCCAGCTGGTGAGCAGGACAGTATGAGAACTAGGGACAGAACCATCAGTCTCAGAGGAACCTCCTGCTTACACCATATTAATGTTTTATCTTTTGGAACCAGAGTAAAGTGACAAATCAGGGTTTTAGTTAACCTGGGTAAACAAAGAAACTGAGAGTCTTTGATTTGCTACAGGGACTCCATGGAATGGGAGAGGAAGTTAGTGGTTTGCATGTTGGTAAAAAAGGCTTCCTCTGATTTTTTTTCCCCCCTCTTAGGTCTGATTAATAAATATGAGATCAATGGTCTTCAGTGCTGGATCATCACTCACCTCCTGTGGTGGGTAAACGCTCAGTATTTTCACTGGATTTCTCCCACCATCATCATCGATAACTGGATTCCCCTAATGTGGGTTGCCAACATTCTAGGCTACGGCGTTTCCTCCTTCGCTTTTGTAAAAGCGTATCTGTTTCCCACCAATGCTGAGGACTGGTGAGTACCAAAAGGAACCAAGTACTGTTTGTCTTGTCAATTGTGGGTGTTTTTTTTGTGCTTCCTTGTTACCAACTTAACTACGGTTGTCTCAGTTGTTTGAAACAACTAAGAGCTGATTTATTATTCTGATTTACCAACATTTTTGGTTAGCTTTTTTTTAGTTTTCCGCCAACACGTATACTCGCTCATTTTGAGTATTTTTTCTCGATTTTCTTTTGTGTGTAAAAGGGAAATTTTGACTCTGTCTTTTTGCTCACTTTTACTCAGTATAATCCCAGTCTTGTCATTGCAACAGCAAATTTACAGGAAACGTCTTCTACAACTACATGATGGGAATCGAGTTCAACCCTCGCATCGGAAAATGGTTTGACTTTAAGCTGTTCTTTAACGGCCGACCAGGAATCGTGGCCTGGACCCTCATCAATCTGTCTTACATGGCCAAACAGCAGGAACTTTACGGTTATGTCACCAACTCCATGATTTTGGTCAACGTCCTGCAGGTGACAATGAAATGAATATATATATATAATTGTTATTTTGTAATGAAGTCAAATTATGCAGTCAAAATATATATATATATAATTTAAACATGTTATTTCGTAATGAAGTCAAATTATGCAGTCAAAGTTACGTAAAAATGAAATCCTGGACTTTGTTTCTTTAAGGCCATGTATGTTGTGGATTTCTTCTGGAACGAGGCGTGGTACCTGAAAACCATCGACATCTGTCATGATCACTTTGGTTGGTACCTCGGCTGGGGAGACTGTGTCTGGCTTCCCTATCTCTACACACTGCAGGTAGAAACATTCTGTGCCCTTAATACATATCACTTCAGTCCCACAATAAATCCGCCATTTATTTTTTTCTCAAAAACATTGCGTGTGGCGCTTTGGCCCAGAGGCAATGTCTCTGTCATTGGTGTGGAACCCCAGGGTTCACCTCCTGGGTAAGTTTTAATCCCGGTTAGGGGACTCACCACCTGCAGGAAGGTTTGGGGGGTTGGTACAGTGCGATGTGATTTGGGTGGCGACTGCTGCCCCCGCGACCTGTTAACGGATAAGTGGATGAAAATGGATGGATGGATGGATTTACAGAGTTCCCAACAAACCCTGTACAAGAACTTTCTTACATACAAGTCCCTCTACAGCAGGGGTGCCCAAACTGTTCCACGAAGGGCCGCTGTGGCTGCAGGTTTTTGTTCCAACCAAGCAGTAGCACACCTGAATTGACAGCTTCTTGGTCAAACTATGTGCTCTTGGCTGGTTGGAACCAAAACCTGCAGCCACACGGCCCTTTCAAAAATGGATGGATGGATGGATTTACAGGGTTCCCAACAAACCCTGTACAAGGCTCTAATACAACCAGAACTTTCTTACATACAAGTCCCTCTACACTACAGCCTTTCCCGCCAGTACCTCTCGGAACACCTCCTGTTTCAGTCCTGCTCTATTGCCTACTACCATTTCCGCTTCTATAGCGATCGTTTTGCCGAAACTCTGAAACTCTCTTCCCCCAGATATATGTAGTGCTATGTATATCGGGGGTGCTGTTATTAATATTAATATTTATTTTGAGGGAGTGTGAAATGTGGCAGGAGCTCAAAGTTAGTAATAAATATGTACAGGGGGTCCTTGGTTTACAATGGTCCTTGACCTACGGTGTTTCAAGGTTTCATCACCATCTCCCATACATTTTTGGAAGTCTTGTTCCATCATATTGACATACGGTTTTAAAACATATTTTACCCAAGAACTAGGAAGTGAGCAGAGCAGATAAATACAATGTCATGCTGCACTATATGTGGAAGACAGCTTTGTTTACATTCGTCATTTGTACGCCATACAATGAATTGGGATCCATTTACCTTCTTTCATTTGTGTTGTTTTTTGCCCTTCATTATGGCTCCCAAGCGGAAGTGAGACTCTTCTGATGTTTTTACGTCCTACATTATAATGTTACCACTGCATTAGCGTAGGTGAGTGACATAGGTACGGTATGTGAGTTTCGACTTACTGACCCAGGATTCGTAAAAAGTTAACATGATCATTAAATTGCAAGTACAACAGCAGACAAACAGTTAGTGAAGTTAGTAGGTTAAAAGTTGTGGACATCTTTTTTTGTTGTATCTTCAGGGTCTGTACCTGGTCTACCACCCAGTCCACCTGTCTGAACTACACACCCTGGTTGTCCTGATCTTGGGTCTGGTCGGATACTACATCTTCCGCTCCACGAACCATCAGAAGGACCTGTTCCGCCGCACTGAGGGTGCCTGCACCATCTGGGGAAATAAACCCACGTACATTGAGTGCTCGTACTACTCCAGTGATGGAGGAATTCACCGCAGCAAACTCATGACATCTGGCTTCTGGGGCGTGGCCCGTCACTTCAACTACACCGGAGACCTCATGGGGTCCCTGGCCTATTGTGCCGCCTGTGGCTTCGGTCACATCCTGCCCTACTTCTATGTGATCTACATGACTATTCTGCTGGTGCATCGCTGTATACGCGATGAGCACCGCTGCAGTAGCAAGTACGGCAAAGACTGGAAACGTTACACAGATGCAGTTCCATATCGACTGATCCCCGGGGTGTTTTAAGAATAAAATTAAAAATTAAAAAAAAAACAACAGAGGACAAAGATAAATTGTCCCGGCTACCAGAGATGTACACAAACATTGAGTTTTTCTTGGCTCACATCAGAAAGTTAGACACAACAGGAATTGCTCAGTGCACATTTTTTCAGAGTGCAAAATATTTTTTTACTGCCTCAGTAAAAGCAGTTTGAACAAACACATTCAAAATATTTTTTTACTGCCTCAGTAAAACTCTAAAAGCAGTTTGAACAAACACATTTTGCCTTCTTTGTTGACTGTAGTTAAAGCTCCAGTGTGGAAAAACCTGCCATCAGATGAAATAAACTACCCTGAAATGTGTTAGTTTATATTATAATTTACCCCAAGTCAGTCAGATTTTTACCAAACTTTTGTATAATATAAATGTATATATTGCAATTTTTTTTACCACGTTTGTTAAAAACGTCTGAGCGATTGAACTCAGCAACCCTGCGTGTGAGTTGGAGTACGTCAATCTGCAGTTTCACCTCTAGATGTCACTGGGGCTTTAATAACAACGTAAAACCACTAGAAGCAGAAGTTCAGAGAACAAACAGAACACTAACATTTGTGATAATGTATATGTTTTGTAAAACTTTTACATCAATAAAACACTTGGAACAAACCCAGCACAGTTTCTTTATGTGCCCCCCCACCCCTCACTAATACAATATGTAGCGGAAATGGTGAGAAAATAAGTGAGGAAGCATTCGTGCGGCGCTGCCATTAGAGGGCAGTATGGGATTTGAGTGTTCAACAGGTCAGGTTGGTTACAGACAGGGAAAGAAATGTGTTAGCAAGTCAAGATGAAGAGGATGGAAAGGCTATCTTGAGGAGCTCGTGAATGAGGGAAAATGAAAGACAGATAAGTAGACATGGACACAGGCAGTTTATTTAGAAAGTGGTTGAAATAAGTAAGGAAGAAATACAGTATCCGTGCAAGCAAGTTAGATGAGTTTATGTATCTAGGGTCAACCACTCAAAAAAGAGGTGAAGAAGAAGGTGCAGTCAGGTTGGAGTGGATGGAGTTGTAAGGGGGGCGATTGTCAGTATATTTTTGGTAAAATTATATTTAATTGAACATGAATAAAAATAATAAATATCTCACATATTTGTACTTGCATAAAAACAATGGAAAAACCACATTGACTTATTGTTAATCATAGTTAATTTAATTATGGTTGTACTGGTCCGGCCCGCTTGACAAACAAATTAAGTTTCATGCAGTCCGTGAACCATAATGAGTTTAACACCCCTGATATAAGACATCCGTTGGCCCCATTTGATAATAATTTCTAAAAAATAAGAAATATGACCACACCAGTCTCTTTCACCAAATGCCAACATCTTTCCACTGCAATTTCATTTTTCCCCTCCCTTCGTGACTGTGCTGTTGAACCCCTGACCAGTCCCACCCCCCCACCCCCACTGTGCCCCCTTGCTGCAGCTGCAGTGGATAAGAATCATGTAATCACTCCATAATGTAGTTACTGTCCAGACTGGACATTAAAATTACAAATTCAATCATCTGCTGTCTTTAAGCCTTGTCCCTGTCTCAGTGATACGGTCTAGTCCACATAAAGAACCTATTGCCAACCAGATAAAACCAACAGAACTACGTGAACCAACAGCGGCAACAACAGCTCTAGAGGTGTCGTCTTTTTCTCCATCCACTCTTCCTCGGGGATAATGTGAGAATTAAAATGACGAGTCATGAACGGCCATTTGGCTGCGTGTAATGAATCGGGTAGTGATTGCATTAGCTTTGAATAAAGACAGGAGGGATCAATGGCTCCTCCATTAACTTAACTGATTAGATGTTCTGACGGTGAGGTGGAGAGAAAAAGGCCAGTGCCTACATGGTGTAATTGGCCTTTGGAGCTGATGGATTAAAAAAAAAAAAGATAGCGATGAAACTGACACTTCTGAAATGTCTCCTGCAGAGAAGCTTGGAGCTTAATAACATTAAAAATAAGGAAAACATATATGTGCTGGAGAATGGTTTTCAATGAAATGGTCAACTGTCCTGAGAACAAGCCTGTGAAAAGGATCTTGGTTCTCAGTAAAAAACCCTCTCCACACACCTCAGGCCCACGTCAGCACAATACACACCATACCTGAGGTTTAAAAACAAATACTAATACCAGGTTTCAACAGAGCCGTGCAAAAACCACTAAAGTTGACACACCTCGTTTTAAGTTGCGTTAATTTCCTTGGAGACCAAATTAGATTTTATTTAGGATCGTGTGGGCAAAGGAGGTCAGAGACTTTATGTGGGTGTCAAAAACAAAAAGGAATGTTGCATCTCAGCAGGGGGAAAATAATCCATTTGTCAGCGTTTTCTGCAAAAGCCCTGACTAACCATTCATACGCACCATAAAAAAATTATAAGCTGTGCTTTGGTCTTTATCTCATTCCATCTGCTTTAACAGTCTAAAATAAATTATTTTTTATTACTTTTACTGCAATGTTTAACATTTTGTCCAGGGATCGCAGTTAGCATGCAATAATTGAAAAAAACCCCCAAAAAAACAAAAAAGCAGTTAGCATGCAATAATTGAAAAAAAAACCAAAAAAAAACAAACTACAATATTGCCCAAAAAATTCTGTAAAAAATAAAGGAAAATCCCTAATAATTAGTTGAAAAAGAAGCTAAATGTTGCTTGAAAGACTTGCTTTCTCTCATTAAATGTTCAACAGTTTCTTCAGGTCAGAGACTGTTGCATTTAATTTAATTTTTGATGCAATGTACATAAAGTTTAATGACTGAAACTAATAGAACAAGTTTTGGAAAACGGACTGTTTCATTTGATTCAATTTTATATGCTGGAAGAGTATTCAGGTTGTGCATGTTTTTTGAAATGTAACTACGTAAAGTAAGCAGCAAGTAAAGTAAGTAAAGTAAAAAAGTACTTTTAAAAATAAGTAATCGTTAAAGTAACTGGATTACTTACTTGGAGAAGTAATCAGTAATCAATAATTACTACTACTACTACTACTTACTATTTCTAAGTAACTTGACCAACACTAGTGGCGACCCTTGAGGGGAACTGCCAAAAGAAGAAAGAAGCTCTTTATCGATTACGACAGAGAAGGTGGACGGACCTTCCTGGCAGCAAGGACAGTGCCTATACTTCTGGGTCCACCCAGAGAGGACTACGACCAATTTATTCCTAGTGACTCCTTCATTCATGTTGACGATTTCCCTGATGCAAAATGGCAGAACATTTGCCGAAGCTGGACAAGGATACTAACACCTACATGGCTCACTTTGAGTGGAGAAATGATGTACGGAGATGCTAACGCTACATGCTAATAGAATAGATATTAGCATGGCTCTCTCTATGCTGTCTGAAGAATCACAGCTAGTAAAAGTGCAGAAGATGATTTGATCTGCTCGAGGATATTTGCCGGATCTCCGGGGAACTCTGCCGACCGGCTACACTGACGTTGCCCATGAGTAGTCTCAAAGGAGTTCCTCTCTCTTGTGATACCATGCCCTGGGCTGTCTTCCTGCTCCACTTCCCACCTTCAGCACTTATGGGCCAAGGCAGTTGCTTACGGCAGAAAGCGCACCTCATCTAGGACCGGTTCGCCTCCCCTCCGGCTCTCCAACCGCTTTGAATCTCTTGCAGTGTTCCAGGAGATTGTCGGAACCTAAGCTCAGTCATGAGCTTCTCCCATCTGGAGAACGGAGCGGCCCTTACTACTTTCCACTCCAGCTTCTCGTCTTCCATGGACTCCTTGAAAACTGCCCCTCCTCTGCCAGACAACATGGCGACTGAGGCTCCTTTTTCTTAACCGGACCATCGTCTCCGCAGCTAGTATTGCGCAGAGACGTTAAGCCGGTGCCCCAGATCATGAGCTGTCTTTCCAGTTCACAAGGCAGTACCATGGCTAGAGAGAGAAACCTTTACCAGGATTATACGATCTCAAACCCTAACAATGTGTCAAGAACCTGAGCGACACCTATGACTCGATTTTATTCAACACACCTAACCAGAATAGGTTTCTACAACCTCAGAAACATTGGCATGCCTGTGGAACTGCATGCCAAGAAGCCTCAGGGCTGCAGAGGCTATTGATGTTTTTAAAGGTAGACTCAATACCCACCTTTTTAACCTGGCTTTTAATTGATTTTAACTTTATTTAATTTATTCATTTTCTCACTTCTCACATGTATCTATTTATTTACTGTTGCTCTTATCCATTGCTTACATTTTAAATCAGATATTTTAGTGTTAGGATGTTTTCAGAATTTTTAGTGTAACATTAACGTCCATCATTACTTTGAATCGTTGCTTTTATCTATGAGTTGCTGCCACCTAGTGACTGGAGGCTTGTTATCATTCAAGCATTACAGCAGTGGTACACTGATTTCCATCATGCCATATTCCATTGGAAGCCCCTAACGCCCTCCCAGGGGAGCCAGCATTAGTATTTATGAAATGGTGCACCTATGTCCAGCATGCCATATTCCATTGGAATCCCCTCACACCCTCCCAGGGGGGGCAGCATTACTATTTATTAACTATTGAGTTAAGAAGATTGACCATTCATGTCATCAGCCAAAATGACGGTTAATGCCTCAGATTCTGGAGCAGGGTGAGGCCATTTTGGAAACCCCACCATCCCCTAAACTCTGCTGCCAGCTGAAATCCTTGTTGCCCCCGCTCCTGGCCCTCTGTCTCACCAGCTGTCAGCTGGTGAGACAGAATCACACTCACACTTTCATCCACAGGTGCAGGACTTCCTGTCTCTAGAGGAACCAAACATGCCAAACAAACCCCACCCTTTAGGGAAATACCCACCTGTTTATGGCGTTTGTGTTAAAATGCCCGAGAATGTGTTTAACTGAAGCTCTGAGACTTTTAATGGACATTCATTAGCACACTTGGAGCACTTCTCCACAGCTGCTCGGTTCGGCATTAGCCTGCATTAGCATTGGCGAGGCACTGTTCATTCTACTTTTTGGGAAAACACCAAGACTCTCGGTCTCAACTGAGAACATTAATCTTGGATTAGGTCTACAGAGCATAATCCGTTCCATGTCCG